ATGCTGAGGGGAGCAGCGGGCGGGTCAGGAGAGGTCTGCCACGCCATGTGGTCACCTCCGGGGCAGGCAGGAATGGAACTCATGTGGAAGCGGCTTTAGATTCTCAGTGCTGTGCTTTAACCCGCTGCGCCACCTGGGAGGGCCATTGTGATTGTCTTTTCAATAATCAAATGGTTCACAGACTTACTATGGCACAAAATACCATGGTGACATTGACAGTCACATCATATCACATTTCATCTATCACATATATCAGTTAAGACTCATGTGAACCATCAGTTTGGTAATTTACTATAAAGATATAATTAAGGCGAGTTTTAATACCAGGATCTACTCCTAGATATTCCAATTAGTAAGTCTGAAGTGCACTAGGCATCTAGATTATTTAAAAGGTCCAAAGAAGATTTAACGTACTACATTTGGACTAGAACCTCTGATATAGGATCTACATTTCTCAAACCATAAAGTATACGTGTTTGCAAAGAAAACACAACCAGCACACTAACTGCTGGATAATCACAGTGAACTTTGCTTATTTTTTAAAGATTTATTTATGCATAGAGAACTGGGGTACAGGCCAGAGGTGTGGGGGGTGAGAGGATTCAGCAGAGACAGAGTAGGGAGCAGAACAGGCAGATCAACTAAGTAAACTGCTGAGGGGAGCAGCGGGTGGGTCAGGAGAGGTCTGCCATGCCATGTGGGTTACTCCCTGGCTGGGGATCAAACTCGTGTTTCAGTGGCTGCATAACTTCATAGTGCTGTGCTTTAACCTGTTGCACCATCAGGGAGGGTCCGAACTTTATCTTTTACACAGCGGGTTCTCTGACTGACATTATTTCATTATGATATTGATGAGAAAAATAAATTCTAGCCAATGTTGAAAGAATTGCTGTATGTTGTTTCTTTATGTTACTAAGCTTAAAGTCACAATTTCTCAGTACCTGTGGACTGTATTATATTAAGTAAAGACTTACTATACTGGTTTTTAACTTTTTTGTTAGGCTTTTTTTTTTTTTTTAAAGATTTATTTATGCATAGAGAACTGGGGTACAGGCCAGAGGTGTGGGGGGTGAGAGGATTCAGCAGAGACAGAGTAGGGAGCAGAACAGGCAGATGGATGAAGTACACTGCTGAGGGGAGCAGTGGGCGGGTCAGGAGAGGTCTGCTGTGCCACGTGGTCACCTCCGGGGCAGGCGGGGATCGAACTCATGCGGAAGCGGCTTTAGCTTCTCAGTGCTGTGCTTTAACCTGCTGCGCCACCAGGGAGGGCCTGTTAAGCTTTTTTATCAACGGTTTTCATTCTTGGTCATTGGGAAGGTTTTAAAATAATAAAACCCACTTCTAGGGATTGACTGAGTGACTGGTAGCTGGTATGCCTTGTGTCTAGGCAGCTTTTAAATCACTCCCCAGGTGATTCTACATAAATAAGATATAATTCTGCTCAAGAGCATTTTTATGATTTTAAGTCTTAATGAATAGTGCAAGACACTAACACTAGCTACACAGTAAAAATTAGCAAGCTTTCATGGTATATTCCTTCCTCATTTTTTTAGTCAGTAAATATACTCAATGGCTTTGATATTAACCCATATTCTGTAAATGTTGGTTGTACTGGATGTTCAAATGTGGTATATGGTATTCTTTGTATTTCCAAATAAAGTATTAAAAATTCAGAAACAGGGTCCTCCTTGGTGGCACAACTGGTTAAAGTGCAGCACTATGAAGCTCTCTGCAGTCACTGCAGCACAAATTCAATCCCTGGCTAGAGCAGTGACCCACATGATGCAGCAGACCTCTCCTGATCCACCCTCTGCTCCTCATCAGTGAATTTCAGTCAATCTGCCTGTTCTGCTCCCCACTCTGTCTCTGGTGAATCCTCTCACTTCTTGCACCTCTTGCCTGTACCCCAGTTCTTGTAAGCATAAATAAAATTTTTAAGAAAAATTCAGAAATAAGCAGTTTTTAATTTCTTTCCCTGTTTTTATGTATTTAATCAAACATGCTAGATAAAAAGAGCTGAAATCTATTTAAAGAAAAACCATGAAAAACTAAATTGCAAACATTATTTCTTCAACATCACTATCAAAAACGGGTTTTACTAGGATAGGCGTGATTCTATGCTTACATAACAATTTTAGGCCTTTAAGATAACAAAAAGCAGAACCATCTAATTTCCAATCTACTATTCCATGAACTGAATAAATTGAGAACTTACCAGTCTGCAAGGCAAAGGGCCGAACAATGGTTTATCTTCATCACTTAAAATTCTTTCTGCAGATTTAAAGTGGTTCAGATAGTATGTATATTTTAATATACACATAAAATCCAAGCTTGCTATATATATTATGATATTTTCCTTAAAGTAAAAATTTCTCTCCTCAAAAAGTACAATGTTATTGTCAGGTTTCATTAAGCCATATTATAAGAATTAACTTTGGATGAAGAGTGAAAATTTAAAATTTAACCATAGTCCCTCAACTGAAGGAAAGTTGTTACTACTAAAAAAAAAAAAAAAAATGAGTTCTCTGTTCCTGTGGTTAATAAACTGTCACTCTATTATTCTGTCAGTATACTGCACTTCTGGCTCCAAAGCCTTTAAGTAATTTCTTCACATTGCTACCCACTTGAAGCATCTCATTTAACGGACGGCTACTTACACTTAACTCATGTCAGTGCATATTTATGACATAAATAGAGACACAATTCTAAACCTCTTACCGATGCTCTGGATGGTATATGCACAACTACTCCAACACATTATGGGCACACGGGGATCCTCTTCATTGGGATGAACCTTCAGTCCCACCTTGTAGGTAGCAGTTCCAAATGTTGTTAACATTTCTCTTATGCTCTCAGAATAAGGATTCCTAAAGTGAACGCATACAGAATTAGTGCAAAAACAATGTGCTATCAATCAAATGATTCTCCTAGCAACTACTTGCTATGTTGGGACTGAACCACTCAAACTAAAATAATTACATGCAAAGGGGCTATTATAGGTACGCAAACTGTCCCTGCCTAAGAGGAGCTATGCTTGATAGGGGTTGATAGGGATGAGGCACAGGGCCGAAAATGAGGTATCAGGAACTGTGGGATCCTTGACCTCTTTCCCTATCTTGAGAACATCAACAATACCCATTGCCACAGATTTTAGCTTCTTTAGTTAAGAATCGTCAGGGATAAAGGGAAGAATCAAACATAAATCAAAAGAAGGACTTAGGAAAAACAAAGCCACTGTAGAAAACAGAAAATTTCTAGAAGGAATAAACTTTTGGAAATAATACAAGTAATATAGTTACCGAGGAAGAGGAATTTCTTTCTCAATGGGTGCTAGACATTAGTAAAACAATGTCTTAAAAATCTAGATGGGGAGGCCCTCCCTGGTGGCGCAGTGGGTTAAAGCACTGCACTAAGAAGCTTAAGCCACTTCTGCATGAGTGGGAGATCCACATGGCATGGCAGACCTCTCCTGACCCGCCCACCCCCCTCAGCAGTGTACTTCGTCGATCTGCCTGTTCTGCTCCTCACTCTGTCCATGGTGAATCCTCTCACCCTCTGCATCTCTGGCCTGTACCCCAGTTCTGTATGAATAAATAAATACATCTTTTTAAAAAAAAATCTAGATGGAAAATTAGTTCTAGCTCATGATTCTATAGCCAAACTATCAATCAAGCATATAGAATAGAGAAAAGCTATATAAATATTTAACATCTAGGCACCCTCTCTTTGCAATTTGCTGAAGATGCTCTCCTTAAGACAAGAGAAGGGTGAGACCCAGGAAACAAAGGGAGCTGGCCCAGGAAAAGTCCTGGAGGTGGCGGGCCCTAGTACAGAGCAGCTAATAGGTCTGAGCTCTTAGAAGGCTACTGAAACATTTAAGAAGTACGTCAAAAAATCCAAATGCACAAAATAAAAAACAAGGTAATTGCTACCCATAGGAAAGATAACAAGTATACAACAAAGGAAATATTTAACACACAACTTACATCAGCAGAAATGATTATAATATGAAAACTAACATTGATTTAATCAAAAATTGTGAAATAATTCTATTGGGAGACTGGTGTGGCGCAGTGGTTAGGGTAAAGGTAAGAGTAGAATCCTAAATTACTAGTCAACAGAAAGCTACTGTTTAGAAATGAAAAATTAAGAGTCACTAAGTATTTTAACTAGAAATATAAAAGTAAGTAACAGAGAAACAAACAAAAACTCCACGTGTTTGGGGATGAGGAGGAGGAATGTGGGAGGCAGAGGACTGATGTTTTTTCTACTTAAGTACTAGTTTTTATAAAGTTACTTTTATGTGTTAGGCAGTTTCCAGTTTATATGTGTTAGCCAAGATTTTACCTGAGTAACATTTATGAGGCAGGTATCACCATATTCATTTTACAGATGAAAAAACTATAGTCTGGAGAGGTCAAGCAGTTTCCACGAAGTTGCACAGTTAAGAAGCAATGGTGTTGGGAACCAAAGCAAGCTGTGCAACTCTAGGATCTATGTTATACTTTGCAACTAACTAGCTATAGGGTGAAGCAGTGCTGAAAATACTCTAATTTGATCCTGGGTTACCAAGAGGTTGGTGGGGCCGTAAATACAAATAAGGAAGCCAGAGGTTAGCATGGGATTTGGTGGGGAAGACAAGTGGTTTGGATTTAGATCTACTGATGGGGTGATGTCAAAGAGTCAGATAAAGAGGTATCTATCGTGCGGAGTCAGCACAGTAGTCTAGCGAGTCAAACACGCCACATGGTTCTTAGGTTTCTATCATTAGGTTTGCAAGATGAGTGCCCTCGGGTAATGCTCATGTTATTTATGACCTGAATGTAAGACCCATGTCCTGGAACATTTTGCTCTCTCCCTTGACAAGTGGTCTTATTAACTGGTGCCTTAACTTTTCATTTCAACTGGGTGAGTTTTAAAGGAATAAAATACACTCACTTAGGATGAAAATCAGGTCTAAATCCTTCAGGGAACTGGAATTCATTCATTTTTTCTGAGTTCTTTGAAAAGGTAGTATCTAAAGAAACAAGAATTTTACACAATTGTTTTTCAATTTACAGTGTTTCTATAAATCTAATATATATGTTATTCTGAATTTATGTCAAACAAATTTAAAAACAGGAAAAATTTTCATTAATAAAAACTGGCATTACAGTTATTCACAGCATAAAAAACACTTTCTCCAGTTGATCTAGCTAGGTGCCTTCTTTCATCACCTATGCTTTCTAGAACACAGCTAGGGAAGATAAGAAAAGCAAAAGTATGCTATTGTTTCTATGAAAACCACTGATAAAAATTTTGCTCACACTGCTTTCCCACAAGGCCATGGGCGTAGAGCACAGGACACCTTTGGTAACGCAACACCAAAGTGAGTCAGCCCGCTGAGACGGAAGCTGGCTCTTCTCAGTCACAGCTCCCTCAACCCCAGAAGCTCTTCGATAAAGCAGGGGAATAAGTGAGAAAGACTTATTATGAGCTTGTATATATATACATAAGCTTGTAAACATGCATGAGCTTGTATGTTTTCAAGGAGTAAGGAGTAAGTAGTAAAATCAAATTTAGTTCATTAAGTAAATTAGATTAAGTCATATTTTAAAATATTTTAAAAACAATTTCTCTGGAACTACATTTCCCAACAATCTCAGCCAATAGGGGAAGATGATAACAGGTTCATCAGAACTTACTATGAGCTCGCTCTTCTTTCCTAAGAACCTGTAATGCTCTTATTTGTTGAGATATTGTTCTAATCCACTGAGTTAGATTTGGTTGGTCTGAAAAATTTAACCTCCTAGAAAAGATAATAGAGAATGTTTAATATGTTGTTGTTGTTACTTTAAGATACAAAAAAACTTCAAATATTATGGGCATATTTTAAACAACTTCAAATAATTAAAAAAAAAATGCCAGGGAAAAATTCATTGCCTTAAAAAAAAATCAGAATTGTTATTTGTCAATGGGAATGAAAATATATTATTGAGTGATATGATGTTAAAAACTGCCAAAAATTTCACTTTTTTAGTACTGGAACTTGCAAATATTTCTTAAATATTCACAATCACCTTATCACCACTAATATCTGAGGGCTTATTAACAAGTACTTAAAGCATTTTACACTATTACATTAATCGTCAAAATATCCTTATGAAATAGGTTCTACTGTTATGCCCATTTTACAGGTGAGGAGACAGGTTTAAAGCTATGCAACCTGATTTAGGCCATATAAAGGACAGAGCTGGTATTCAAACCCACCTCTGTAAGCCTACAAACTCTGTGTTCTTAAAAACAATGCCATAACAGATTCTCATGGGGGAAAAAAAACAACTTTGAATCATAAGTGATGGGTAAGTTCCAACAAAGGTGACTTTTCCATCTCATTTTATGCAATGAATCCTTATTGTAACACTGATTTTCAAATTTCTTCATCAGCTCAAGCGCAGACATATATCAACACCATGGTAATCTTTTATGATTGAAAACCATGAGCTTACACTCAAGTTTAACGGTATTTTAAGAATACAGACTAAGATGCATAGTCCGAACTAGTAAAGTTGAGGAACAAACATGACTTTGCTTTGAATTGGATCCAAGTAGCACAATATATAGTATAAATTCATAAAAGTTGAGGTTAGATTTCAATGGTAGACAGTGTCAAATTCCTATATGAAGTGAACATGCCCACTACTTTTAACTAAAAGCATCCTAAAAATTATGAAATGACAAAAAATTTGTTGTAAGCACCCTAACAGATACTCAATTTTTGGCTCAATTCCTGAAGCTGTTGTTGGTTAGCAAACTGCACAAAATCTCTCGTGAAAAATATGTGCGCAATTGTTATTAAAGTACTAGAAATGTAGAAAATTGTTTTCATGAATACACAGGAATTTTATACTTTCTGTATCATAGGTCTGCTAGAAGACAAGACTTCATAAAGTTTGGGTAGTAGCTGGAAAACATGTAATTATCTAGACTGATCCCTACTACCTCCTGTTTATTTCATTATTTTCAAATGTAATGCTTTGATATAAAAGTTTTATGAGGGCCCTCCCTGGTGGTGCAGCGGGTTAAAGCACAGCACTAAGAAGCTAAAGACACTTCCGCATGAGTTCGACCCCGCCTGCCCCTGAGGAGATCCACATGGCTTGGCAGACCTCTCCTGACCGCCTGCTGCTCCCCTCAGCAGTGTACTTCGTAGATCTGCCTGCTCTGCTCCCTGCTCTGTCTCTGGTGAATCCTCTCACCCGCCACATCTCTGGCCTGTACCCCAGTTCTGTATGAATAAATAAAATCTTAAAAAAAAAAAAAAGTTTTGTGAGTCAAAACTTACTTGTTAAAAATATTTCTTGGAGGAAGCAACAGAGGAATAACAGTATTACTTAAGCATTCACAAAGGGGACACAGGAATTCTCCATTTTCTACATCGTAGCTCGTATGTAAGCGTAATCTCTGCTGTCTTCTCTGTTCTTTAGCTTGAACAGAATCAAAATACCTTTACAAGAACACATGAGATATCAAAAACAATGGCATTTTTTAAAAACAAGAGCTATAAACTTCAACATTTCAAAAATAATTAAAACATTAAAGACTTGAACTGAATTCTTTTTAACAAGTTAACTTGAATTTTGGAGATGTCTTAATTATCAAAATTGGTTAAGAATTTTAAAAAATAGGAAAATTTAAAGAAGAATGCCATTAGCAATGCAGTAAATTTCTGGGTTCAGTGCTGTGTGATTCCCTCCCTAGTGCTGGTGGTTATTTGTTAGAGGCAGTTTATGATAATTCAGTGAACACAGTGCTAATAGCATTGAATTGTTGGTTTTGCAGAACACATCTGAGATTATCCCACCTTAGCACAGGGGCCATGACAATCTCAGATGTACCAGGGCAACTGTTAAAACCTTCAGAATCAAAGTTATTTACCCTGGACCTGAAGATAGTACTCTTGTAGAGTTTATCCCAATGTAAAAATATTTTTCTTCATTTAGTTTATAACTCAATACAGATTTCCACACTAAAAGATATAGCAGCTGTGATATGAAATTTCTAAGTCACTTCTTTTACATGTACAAAAAAGCATTCAATTTTAATTGTTATGTGCAGTAAGCAGTTTTTTTCAACACTTTTAGTTCTTTTTGCCTTTTCTAGAAAGAAATTCCTTTATTAAAATTTATTTAATTTTGCGCCTTTGGTACGGTTGCCTTGACTATTATTAAGAATATAAATTACCTTTGCCAGCAATGGGCATGCATAATGTGCCCACAGCTACCAGTGTGTGTTCCGCAAGACAGATCAGGGTGCATGAATAGTGGATCATATTTTTCTGCATCACAAGACAAACAAATAAAACAAAAGAAAAAATGCCCAAGCATTTTATTTTCCTGTAACAAAGGTACTACAACAAACTGCAAAATCCATCATGACGGCTTGTAAACTTGAAATGATAGCTTTTATCTTTCATTTGATATACTGATAATTGATGCAAGACAGGATTACTTAAAAGCAAGACCCTCTCTAATTTGCATCTCTCTGAACAAATTAACTAAACATACCTTAAGTTAACTGAAATTGGAAAACTATATGTTTAACATTTCACAATTTAAGGACACAATTTAAGAGACTACTACCTCCTCCAGATCCCTTAGCCTGGTAGAAGAGGTAATCTTCCTGGGGCTGCTTTTAATCCCTGGAGGGCTGCTGAGTCACAATGATCTCTAACAAAAATGTTAGATGTTTTGGCAGTATGGGGTACTCCCTTGAGGAGAGTCTGCCTAGAAACACTTACAGAGAATAATCACAATTTCCTGTACCAGAGTCAAAGCAAAGGAAAAACTAGGCCAGCAGTCCCACTCCAAGTGGGTAAAAAGGGACATTCAAAGACTTCTGTTAGGGTGCTTAATTTTTTATATTCAAAATTGGTAAAAAATGAAGATGAACACAAGATGGGTATATATGGCCTCTTGGAATGTTTTCTACTCCTTATATTACAATCTTAAAATTTTAACACTCTGAAAACATTTAAGTTTTTTTTTGTTTTGGTTTTTTTTAAAAAGACTGATTTGTGCATACAGAGCTGGGATACAAGCCAAGGTGCAGGGGCGGTGAGAGGCTTCACCAGAGACAGAGCGGGGAGCAGAACAGGGAGATCGACTACACTGCTGAGGGGAGCAGCAAGCGGGTCAGGAGAGGTCTGTTGCACCATGTGGGTCACCTCTGGGGCTAGGGATCAAACTTGCACTGAAGTGGCTGTGGCTCACTTGCAGTGCTGCATCCTAACCCACTGCACCACCAGAGAGGACCCATTATTTAAATTTTAATTTAACATGCTAATACTGAATAGAGCCAATTAGTAAAAATAGCATAAAGAGGCCCTCCCTGGTGGCGCAGCGGGTTAAAGCCCAGCACTGAGAATCTGAAGCCACTTCCGCATGAGTTCGATTCCCGCCTGCCACCTGCCCCGGAGGTGACCACATGGCGTGTCAGACCTCTCCTGACCTGCCCGCTGCTTCCCTCAGCAGTGTACTTCGTAGATCTGCCTGTTCTGCTCCCCACTCTGTCTCTGGTGAAGCCTCTCACTGCCCCTGAGCCTCTGGCCTGTACCCCAGTTCTGTATGCACAAATAAATAAATTTAAAAAAAAAATTAAAAAAAAAAGCATAAAGATCTTCATTGATATACATTGTGAAAGAATTTGAAAAATCTGCTATTGTAGACAACATTTTTTCTTAAAAAAGTAACAACTGGCAATTCTGTCTTCAGCCTGAAATGAAATTTGTAAATCCCTACCTAAAATGACCATTGCTTAAGATGAACTGACCAATCTTAATTAGATCATTGGGAGCCACACTGGGAAGACTTTCCTGAGAGGAGAGGCAATCTTACCTGCAAGGCTTTGAAACATCCTTTCACTACTACACAATGAAAGGCACAAAGTAAAAACATATTTTGGAAATTTCTAAGACACCTAACCTACTCCTGAGGTTTACTTAAACTGTGTGCACATACAGGCAACTTAAAAGAACAGAGACACAAAATGTGCAAGGTGTATAGAATAATGTGGCCTCTGCAAGAATGAATGACTTATTCCCTTAACTGTTGGGGCAGATGGTCACTCAACCGTCACCATTCTTCAGGGACAACTGCCTCACTCAAGGTCACACCTCTTTCCAGATGTGGCCCATAATAAGACACCGAATCAGAATCAGGGTATAAAGACCCTTTGTTCCACCTCAGGACACCTCTGCACAGCTACTTAGACCCAGAGCTAATAAGGGGTTAGCTGAGGCTTTCTGGAACTCAACTTCATTCTTAGCCCAAACCTTTTCTCCTCCCCCTCCTTTCCACAAATGTTTATCCCAAGATTCTCTCTAATAAATGTCCTGCACAATAATTTCTCAATCTGCTTTTTGGAAGACCCTGTTTGTGTTATTACCACTATTCTAAATCAGAATATGCTTCAAGAATCGCTTTTCAAGAACTTTAACTCTGTATCTATTCATGAGACAAAAAAAAATTACTATCTCAGTGTGTCAAGTAATTACTAGCACTTTAAAAGTGCATACAATGGGAAACTATTAAGTAGCATAGCATAATATAGCATAATACTGTATCACAAAGAAAAGATTTACTTTTCTCTGAATCTCTACTTTTTTTTTTTTAAAGATTTATTTATGCATACATAACTGGGGTGCAGGGCATGAGAGGATTCACCAGAAGCAGAGTGGGGAGCAGAACAGGCAGACTGATGAAGTACACTGCTGAGGGGAGCAGTGGGTGGGTCAGGAGAGGTCTGCTGCACCATGTGGGTCACCTCCCGGGCAGGGGATCTAACTTGAACTGAAGCAGCTGCGGCTTGCTTGTGGTGATGCACCCTAACCTGTTATGCCACTAGGGAGGGCCTGAAACTACTCTTTATCAGTTCTGTAATTCAGGCACAATACTGAAATTTTGGGAATATTTCCTTATCTGTCTAAAGGAGAAATCCTGCCCAAGTTACAACCAAGCTTATGGAGTTGCAGTCATTATTAAAAGGGAGGATCTAGCTATGGCTTACCTGGATCCTGAACGATTTTACTTCTATTTTTTGATAATACAGTTGATCTTTGAACAAATGCTGCCAGGACCATTGCCTTGCTTTCCACCTTCACCTCTTGCTCTTCTTGACACAATATACAGGTAACAAAATGTCTTTGTTCAGGGACTTGAGTCTGTGCTGGGCCCAAAGCTGTGAGTGTCATATCTGAAACAACAGGGCTGTAATAAAAAGGTTATAAGTGTAATTAATCAGCGTAAGAAATTTCAAAATAGTCATAAAGGAGGATAAACTCCAGGTATGTATATATGTAATACAAAGGGTTTTTGATAACCTGAATTGCCAGACATATGGATCAGAGTTCTCTTCCTTACTACTCTAGCAGCCCAATATGCAAAGGAGGAGCCACTTAACTGAGTTTTGTGTAATCACTACTCATTCTTTTATGAATGCAGAGGATCTTCTGTATAATGTATTTTAAATGTACACATGAGTTATCTACTGTCAGAAATATTACATGCATCAATAACTCAAATTTCTAAGATTAATTTCTTAACTAGAGCTCACAAAATTTTGCTATCATCCCTTCTGAATCAGTCAGCTGGATGAGAGGAGTACTTTACGGAAATAAGGCAACCTCTATCTAACTGAGAAAACCAGTCAAGAGATGAAACAATGTTTATGGTAGTTCACCTATTATCAAGAACTGCAGAAGCGGAGGCATCCAGGTCTAAAGTTTGCTGGAAGAGTTCTTTGTTCTCATCAATAAAATGTCGCTGCATCTCAGACATCTGGGCCATGATTTTTTCTCTGCGCAGCCTGGCAATTTCAGCTTTCCTCTTTCGCTCCGCTTTGTCTTTGTCTCTTGAACTCTGAAATTATGCTTCATTGAATTAGGCTATTAGATGCTAAATGCACATTTTCCCACCTAAAGTAGAGTCTTTACTGTAAATACTAACCAAAATCTGTTCTATAATCTTATCTAAACAAGAGAAAAGATTTCTTAATACTCAACCTAACATGTTAAAAAAAAAAATCAAATAAACTGTACAACAAATAAATAGTGGAACACCTTGGAATTTGCATGCATGTGAATGGTATCATGTACAACACTGATGTAGATATATTAGTGTACAGAGAACTATAACTTTTCACTGTTACCACAGTTTATTTCTTATACCTCTTCCAATATGGTTCCTTCTGTCTCTGCCACAGGACTGGTGGATGAACTCTCCCTTATCTTCTTAATAGCATTAAAAGTCTATGAAGAAAAATCTCAGTTATCCCGATGCTCTGAAACATTAATAACCGTAAGGATGACAATATTTAATGTTTCTCACAAAAGTAGAACAATGCAGGACACTTTACCTTTAATATCCACCTAATCATATCTTTGTGGACATCTAGGTAAGGAGCATTTTGTAATGTCTCCAACATAGCTAGGATGCTAGGAGAGTTTTTTGGTGCTTCACCAGGTTCTGAAGTGAAAAAACGAAAGGCACAAAACACAAGTTAACACTTCATAGTGTTTACTGGCATTTTCAAGACAATAAATGTAGTTGTTTATAATACCATTTGCCCATCATTTGATTATGGCTCTTACTTGTTAGCGTTTTCACTACTTTTGGAGACTGACCCATTTGGAGACTGACCTGGCAAATAAGTTATCAACTGGAACTGACATTTTATACCAAATGATTGTTTTAAAATAGGCTCTTGCAAAATTAAATAGAAAAAAAGATCTTCCTGAGATATTACAAGTCTAAGAAAACAATTTAGGATTACAAGGGCATATGAAAATATGAATGAAAATATACCTATTCATTTTGACCTTTTGATAAAACTTCCATTCAAAATAAATAATTTTTTTCATTTACAAAATATTTCCTTGTGTGGGGAAAAAACACACAGAAGTTAAGCTTATACTTTCAAAAGCACATTTCATCAATATTAACTAATTTAGTTTTACAGTTAGAAATGTTCAGTTATTAATTTTCTTGCCATTTTGGCAAAATGTTCTACTTTCTTAGGAGATAAAATTAATGAATTGTGTGATCTTTAATATTCTTCCAGATCTAAAAATCCTGAGGCTGTAGAGTTAGGAAGCCAATTCTACAGTGTATCTATTAAAATAAAATGTTTAAACAAAAGCAAGAAGAATATCCAGAGCAAATGATGACTGTTCTAAAAGAGAGAGAGTGAAATGGAATCTGAAACTGTAATGGGGATGAGTAAATGAAATTAAGGAATTTTCTGTGATTCTCCTAAAGTAAAAGCACAGGAAGAAAGGAAAGCAAAAGACACAATGTTAAATCCACACTAAGACATACTGGCAAAGATGAGCACCCAAGAATACAGTTTTAGTTGCCCCGCTTCATCTCCTTTCCCCATATAAGGGCAGAAAAGGGGAAACAGAGATCTAACAACCAAGAAGACAGGGCTCTTCCTCTGCATCCTCCAGCAGGACAGTATTCTTGGCCACGGTCTCTTAGAAGAGATAGTAGTGAGTAACACACTATACAAAGAACTAATTTGTAGAACTAATCTGCAATCAAGAAATGCATACACTCTTCTTATACCGAAATTCATTTAAACAACTCAGCCAATGGCTGACTGTGAGCCCAGGGCAGGTCAGTACAGCATAAGCACAGGACAGCAAGGGGGTGCTCAAACACCAATGGGGCTAGGGCAAAGGCCACAGAAGTCATTAGAACAGTCTCTTGCCAACCAAAACTGGCACAACATGAGCATCAAAGAGCACGGACTACAACTGACTGTAAAAGACTGAATAAATAATAACTCAAAAGGAATATTGAAGAGGAACAAAAACAAAACCTAAGCAAGCAATAAAGATTCACAGCCGCCACAGTGCGGGTAACTTATTAAGCTAACTGCTGATTCTGAAAGTAAATAAGGGAATTTTTCTTTTGGAGGTGAAATATTTTATTTATAACACAAATTTAAAAAAACTGCATATATAAAAGCAAACATAGTAAAATACTATCTATTGAATCTAGGTGGTATATGGCTATTTACTGTACAACTCTCTCAACCTCTCTATATGGCTTATTTTATTTAATATAATAGTTTATTTTGACATCATTTTGTGCCTTTTTCCATATCAGTTGTAATCCCCGTGGGCTTCCCATCACCAGATCACCCATGTGCCATCACCACAGTCCACTGCATTTCCCTCCCTCTACTGTTTTTGATGCCATTTCCCATTCTACCCCGGTAAAATCTCTCTGGTATATAGTTGTTCATGATTATTATTATTTCACCCCCCCCCCCCGATCCTTTATGCTCCTGCTATGAGTGAAACCATTGGTATTGGTATTTTTCTTTTTCTTTTTGGCTTATTTCACTAAGTATGATCCCTTCCAGTTCCACCCATGTTGCTGCAAAAGACATGAGTTTATCTATTTTGATTGCTGAGTAATATTCCATTGTGTATATATATATCTTTTTATCCCAGTCCTCTATTTTTGGGCATTTGGACAACTTCTCTCTATGTTTAAAGATTATGATGAAAAGCTAAAAATAGAACTATTATTTTATGTAATGATAATCCCATGCTCTGTAGCTATTCTTAATTTTAATGTTTTTAAATGTATATACTAGATTCATGGTGTTTACCAGTACCAACTTACTATAAGTTGTCTATATAATGAATATAGACAATAATGTACTATAATTACATAATGCAGTTAAATATTACTACAAAGGCATACACCTTACATGCAATCAACTGCAAATTCAATGGATCATTTAACACCTTAAATTTATACAATGACATTGGCCAGATCTATTTAATTACCAAAAAAAACTATCTTATAGTTTAAAAAAAGTACATGCTATACTGATTTCAAATTAAGGATTAACTTTCTGTTTATGACTTAAATGTTTACATTTTAAGTATGTCTAGACTGTAAGTATTTAGAAAATGTGTGTCAGGAACTGATATAGTACCTTTACTATACATATGAATACATACATATAGCCTCAGAAATTTGGATTCAATATTTAAAACCTTTATGACCAAATAAGTTACATTACATATTTAAAATTAGATTGCTGAGTATGTTTAGTAAGAAGTGTATACATACTTGATATCTTCTGAGTGAAAGTAAATGTTACTACATGCTCTTCCACGACATTCTCTAAATGCTGTTTTTCTTCTTGTAGGGCCATTCCAATTAAATGTAACACCTCAAATACAAAATATTTTGCAAATTCAGTAAAGTGAAAATTAAGTACATATTTTAAAATAACCAAAAAATTTACTATTATGAAAAAGTTATTAAAGATGTAAATGTACTTTAAAACCTAATTTGAAGTTCTAATTTTTACTAAAATCAAACTCTAAAGTTCATTTTCTAAAAAAAAAATTTCAGCAAGGAAAGTAATTCCATTTTAGCTAGGAAGAAAATTCAATTACATCAGTCAGGAGGTTCTTAAAAATCAGAAGAAATTCAACTGCAAATTCATAGGATAAAGTTAAAAATTACTATCAGACATAACCACCAATTCACACTATATAATTTTCAGTTTTATTTCACCCCTATAATACAGTCTTAACTCTTCTAAGAATCAATGATCAAATAATTAGAGCTGAAAATATCTATCACATAATTATCTAGTCCATGAAGTTACCTACTTAAGTTTTATAGGAACTAAAAGAGCTTATTTCAGAAAGAGACACACTTTGACCATTAATGCCACATAATCTATAGTTTACCGTTCTTCAGTATATCACACAAAAAATTTCTTAACAAACTTCAAAGAAAATATATAACTATGTTAAATCTATCTGTATTTTAATTACTCTTACCCTGTTCCTGAATTTCTGAAGATTTGTAAGTATGGGTAACATTTCTTAGAAATAGGACTATTTATTTCATTGCTTTTGAGCTACATTGTCTTCAGAAAATTCCTGGGTGTAATTTCATCATCTTGAAAATGGATGAAAACAGAGTTTTGAGGATTACAAGTACTGTATGTAATGTGCCCAGCATAGAGTAAGGCCGAGTAGGCTATTTCTAGGAATTAAATAACTATTATGTTACTTACTAGTGGAACAACATGGACAAATTAATCTCACTGAAACTTGACTCACCTATACAATGGAAAAAGTTCTAACTACTCAGAGGGGCGTTGTGTAGCTTCGACAAGATTGTAACTCTTAAAGTAAAATTCAACAAGCTCTTAGACTTGTCACTTATTAGCTATGGACTGTAAATCTCTAAATTTCAATTTCTTCAACTGCAAAATATGGATACTAATGAACTCATTTTGAGAGAACTAATTGAACTATATATGTAAAAGATAATAATATACAAATATCCAAGTACTGCATAAACAGAGAAGACCCACGCATCAAGAACAATAAGAAACAGATTAGCCAACAGAACCAAGGTAACCACAACCTTGTGTGATACGCAATTGGTCAGGCCACCCTCATTTTCACTGTCTGACACAAAAATAGCAGTAAGATACTTGTGTCAAATTAAGGTTAACAAATTAAATTTTTGTCTTTTACTGACACTTATTTTGAGTTTTACTACAAAATCACTAAAATACAGATACAAATGACTTCAAGCCTACCCTTTGCAGCATAGATTCGGACCAGGCATATCCGTTGTGTTCTACAGCCCACTGCAGCACTGTTCCCATGATGCACAGCATGACATCTGACTGCAAAATGTTTACCAGACTTGCAAACAGAGGGCAGAATGGAGGCAACACTGGAGGTGGAAGTGCTGCAAATGAAGTTATTATTGGTTTCCTTTGTAGCATGCGTGTAAAAAAATTTCCATTGAAAAATACTTTTGACAGTTATTGCTCAAAGAATATTCATCTACACACTAAACTTGTATTTTACCATCTCAAAGTCAATCAAATGCATAGAAAGAGCTAAGTGAATACTAACAGTACAAAAGAAAAAGCCTTACTTTTCCCTAAAAAAATTCAAAACTGAGCTAAAACATTCACCAAGTAATGACTCAGTATGGACTGTTTGACTATTAGCATGCTTATTAGCCCGCTGGTCCCTTGAAAAGCTGAGTATTTAAACCTTCCATTACTCTAAAGACAACATATCAATATACAAGTGTTTAACAAATAAAAGAAACTATTGTGAAACTTCTGAAAAGATGAATAGTACCTGTATCTTCCCTATTTTGTCTTTTCAATTTCCGTTGAGCTTCCTCTGCCTAATACAAAAGAAAGTAATTTAGACAGGGAATTAGTAATACAAAAGTACTGACATAAGTTAATGTTTGCACCATTATCTTCTGATTTTATAAGATTTTTATTCTTAGTGTTACAGCCCTAACCAATGATATATTAAGGCTCACCCCCGTACCCCATATGAGTGCCCCTGAATGGGTTATTTCTGCTTTAATGTGCAGGTGGAAACATGTACAAACAAATCCAAAGAAGATATTTAGGTTGAACCCTAAGATATGCATTAAAAACTAAACACAGGCTTTATGATCAAGTTCTATTTAATGTCATTTAAAAGAATGGACTGATAAAAGTCAAAATTTATCTGAGAATGATCAAGAAAATTTCATAAATTACTATGGAAAAACATAAGTAATACCAATTCTAAAATGACTAAGATGGGTTATCTGATTATAAGACAGGTTATTTGTCTTCAAAGCCAGTAAAATATAGATAATTCTATGCGTATACATGTATGTAATTACATAGATCTTGTAGAGATACATGTAAAACACTCGGGGAAAAAACCCAAAATGTTAAGTGGTAGAATTATATAGGTAAGCTGTACTTTCTTTGTTAAAACTTTTTTTTTAAGTTTCCTTAATTTCCTACAATAAACAAATATTCTTTTTCAATCAGTGAATAATAAAGTTGTTTAGGAAAAAACAAAACAAAACAAAATAAAATCCCAATCTTTCCCCAGTACACTTTACATGTTCTCAATTACCTTGGACTGTTCTGCCCTTGAAAAGTGATAGAAATACAAGTTGAATTCCTTGGTGCACTCTGGTTTCAGTTCATACATGCCTCGTCCAGTTAATCCAGGTTTTCTATGAAAAGAAAAGTCCTTAAAATATTATTACTTAAGTTATATACTAATTCACGAGACAGTCTAAGATAACAGAATAAAAAAACATCTCTCATGCACTGTGAGGTGATATCAGCATTATTACCACTAATAATTAACTAGGCAATCTACACCCAAAGCTTTATGTAGGTTCATTTATTTAGCTCGTCCACTTTGAATATATCCCAACTAGACAAAAAATGGTCATTGTTGTGCTAACAATCCAGTATGATCACAGGATATAGGGCACATCCATTAAAACATTGCTAGACAACTGAAGACCACTAATAGTGATGTCAACTTCTATATTTGGATATGTAAAGGTGTAATAAAGTCTATCAAGAGGAAAAATAAGTACAATTTTTGGTTTAGAGAAGCTCTTCTCTATTATTTTCTCCAAAACCACGCTCTGTGTCTATACTGTGTCAACAAGGGGCTAACCTTGTTATTGATGGAAAAATACAAGGAAACAAGAAAAGGCAGCACTCAGAGGCTATCCTACACCTTAGGCAGCACAGTCAAGTGAGCAATTCAAGAGAATTCAAGACACTTACAAAGACCACCTATTCAAGTTAATTCCAATTATCTGAAACTAAAAGCTATGCATATCTATTCTGAATATAATGAAAATTCTCAGAGTTCTTTAAGTTGCTGAGCATAATGTCAGATAATAAATCTGTCAGTAAGAAATATAGTTCACAATTAAATATCCAAAAATGTTTATCACTCTCTGAAAGTAACAATTTCACTCACAATTCCATCATAGGGAACAAACTAAGAAAAATGAACATATGAACAAATAGATGTAAACTCACTTGAAATGGGCAACTGTCTCAATTACATTCTCCATGCCAGTCTCCTTGTTCTCCTAAAGTACAAGAAACCAGTGTGTTTTACCATCAAACAAATTATAATGATTTTTACAGATGGAAATTCCATAGTAAACACAATAGTTAATACAGTTAGGGAAGCTTCAATAAGCTAACATTCATTCAGATTGATATAATCAAAAACAAGTATATGGAATCAAGGCTACACTTTCAACAGAAGTTAAATGAAAACAAAGCATATATAACATTTAAACACTATTGACGTAAAATATATGCAACTATTTTGTGATATGATCACACATGTGATATGATCACACATGTGATATGATCAAGACATGGCTCACTAAGGAATAAAGTTTTGGATGCTTCAGAAGTAAAAAACTCTGGAAACTGTTTACACAGCTGAGGAAACACTCCTCACTCCCTCACTGTGCCAGGTCGCAGCATGCCCTCCCATGACAACTGTGTGCCAACAAGCCTAAACAATACTTGCCTACAGATACTTCAGTTCTAAGGACAAGATACTTTTTTTTCCCAGGATCTTTACTTCTTTCAAGGCTTCACTCTACAAGATCCTATATTCCTATTCTCCCAATTGCTAGCATTCGCTTTTTCAAATTATTTCTATTAAGAGTGACAAGTGTTACAAATGTCTTAGATTTGCAATTTTCACAACTGTGGGAAAGGCATGTCGAAGTAAATCTACATATACTAGACTGATAAAGCAGGGAAGAGTTTCTGTACTTTTCTTTTAAAAAATGTAGGTACTGCGCCCTCCCTGGTGGCGCAACGGGTTAAAGCACTACACTGAGAAGCTAAAGCCACTTCTGCATGAGTTAATTCCCGCCTGCCCCAGAGGTGACATGGCGTGGCTGACCTCTCCTGACCCGCCCGCTGCTCCCCTTAGCAGTGTACTTCATCGACCTGCCTGTTCTGCTCCCCACTCTGTCTCTGGTGAAGCCTCTCGCCACCCCTAAGCCTCTGGCCTGTACCCCAGTTCTGTATGTACAAATAAATAAATCTTTTAAAAAAAAAATGTAGGTACTTACATCTTCAGGTAAAGACTTCACCAGTTCACTATGAGCCATAGGTTTGATGCTCAACTGATGGATAATCTCCCGCTTAATTTCATCGGTAGCATTTACCTGTCCAATTCCAGGACTAAATCTCTCTCCTATTAACCATTGAAAAGTTAATTTTTTTTCCTTTTATTGTTCCCATTCTTTTCGGATATAAATTTAAAACTATGCAATGCACCTCGTATGTCTCCAAGTCCTTTTCTGCAGTGGGAAAATAATGACTGGTCTGGAAACAAGCCAGGGCAACAGGTGCTCCCCACCACATTTCCTGAGTCTGAGACACAGCAGGTACAAGTGCAAGCTGTAGGCAGGGCAGAGGGGGTCCAGTTTCCTTTAATATTTAGGAAGCCTGAGACCAGAAGGGTGGCATGGGCTTCGCTGCAGTGAGTTGTCAGTGTGGTAGTGCTGCACACATAGAGCAGAACTGCTTTCATGCCATCTGCTGCATGGCTCAGGGAGGGAGAACCTTCCTTTGTCCTCCTAACAGCCACTAAATTAGCAAGCCTGAAACCTGCTCTCTTGGATATCATTTCCTAACAGTAGTCAGGACTTTCTGCTCCAAGAGGTGGGACAGGCAAATATTAATAATATACAAATGGAAAAGATGGAGGGGATAGAATAAAAATACAGGCAATAAGACATTATATCTATTAGCCATAGGTCTTAATGAACCTAGAATTAGACTTTTGTACCACAAAACCATGTAGGGAAACATAGGTAAGGTGTAAGAAACAGTAAAGAGCTCGTACATATCCAATGCCTTGCTGGCTATCTTCTCCTGGATCCCCTTTCCTCCCCAAAGAGGCTTCCAGTTTAGTCTGCTTTATCAACTGTACTCCTTTTTCCAAAGCACCACAGTAACCACAGAGCTGTCACTGTCAATGTTATTGCAATGAGAGGGAGAAAAGATGGATTCTTCCCAGAAACTATCAACTACTCAAGACAAAGTTCAGAAGTCCGGAACTATTTGCTACCACAAAATCCAATTGTAATTTAGAAATGTCTCAAGTGAATCAAACTTACCAACAAGCATTATAATGAGGTACAGCATTTCTTCTATTAAAGTATTGTTCTGTTGAATTACATCCTGTAACAAGTGAGGGGGACAGATACAGAGACAGGAATATGCATACTGTGTTATCTTAAATGACATTACCCAAAAGAAAGAGGCTTCTTTAGTGACATGCTGTGGTCTCACAAAACATGCTCTTACCTTATGAGAGATCTCAGAACTAAATCTTTTCCCATAGTCCGGAGTACTGAAAATCTGATAAAGTTCAAAGCGGCTCAGCATTATCATCAGGAAATGATTTGGGTCCATCATGGAGACACCTGTCTTTTTTTTTTTTTAACATTTGAGAAAGAGGGAAAGGGGAAGGTCACAAGGGTTACTAAACAGTGAGAGAGATTTTGGTGTGTGTAAGAAAAAGCATCTTACTCAATTACCAATTTCAATAAAAGACGGAAACACTTTACACCTAACTCCTGCTTGTGGTACTACAAGCATGGACAAGAATATCATCTGGTGAAACAAAACAAAACCTAAACCCACTCATGAGAATAACTCATGTATGCACTGTGTGCTTTCCTTCCTTTCAATGCTTCGAATTAAATGAAAACCTATGAAGTATGTTTTGAAGTTTTATTTCAGGGCTCTCACCTCACTGTCTGGTATATGGAACCTGAAAGAAATTGTGATTTGTCAATTAAGTTTGTAGGATTTAAAAATATACATTATTAAATTCTTACTAAGAACTCTCTAACTTTGGTTGTAAAAACTACATGAGCTCAAGTGACAACTTTTAAACAATAGTTGCCATTTCCGGCAGCTCCATTTGTGTAAATTCTAAATCAACTTGAGCTTTATTCTGAACCAATACTTTCTGAAATTCACATTTCATAGCTTTTTCTACAATTACCAAATCCATTAAGCGATAATACAGAAAAATATGTGACAAGCACTCTGGACAAAACAGGGAGTGAGATCCAGCTGTTGTGGCTTAGTGGAGATAAAAAGTAGCAGGAGCCACAACACAGTCAGGGATTCTCTGGGGGGCAGAAGCACCAACCTGCCTTTGAACTAACTGCATTTTGGTGCTTTAGGAAGGCTTCCTAGAGAAAGTTAACACTGAATTAAATACTAAAACATGAAGGAAATTAAAGTACTAGGTTAAAAGAAAAGGAGGGGAAGGGTCTGGTAATCCAGGGAGCAAAAGGTACACATGTGAAAGTTTCAAATTTAAGTGAGGATGATACACAGTTATATGGCAAGTCTTGAAAACCGCTCATAGCACTTTCAGAGGGCAATGAAGAAAGTTTGGTCTTCAGGTTTCTGATTTTAGCAAACTGTGTAGACTAAGGAATAATTCGCCAAGTCAGGGAACCCAAAGTAGAAAGAAGATATGGAAGAAATAAAAGGAGTTACTTTGATATAGGTTAGAATTAAATATTTGGTAATGATCATAACTGCTTGGGTTCTTGGACATAACAAGAAGAAAAACACTCCCCACAACCTTTAAATTTAATGCTTTCATGTCATTACCTGAAGCATTATTATATCCTTGTCAAACATCTCACGTCTGCATTTCACATTATGGTAGTAATAAATCTGAAAGAAAATTATATGAGATAAGTAGGTTTTTGTATGTGCTGCCCCCTTTTCTTCCATCTTCAACAGAACACACATGTTCATGTTCATGAAATTTCTCTCTCTCTCTCTCTCTCTCTCTCACACACACACACACACACACACACACACACACACACACACACACCAGTTAACACTAGCCTAGCAGAGATAAATTAAAAACTCCTGCATTGCAGTCATCCTGTGGTTTACACTTTGCAGCCAACCTTTGGGTCTCCCAAAAAGTTGTTTCAGTAAGGTTTACAGCTGCCAAAAGTAGAGGTAAAAAACCTACACCAAGCCTTAGAGTGGCTTACAAATCAAAACCTCAAAATTTCAGAGCTACATCAACAGAACTTTTATCTTTTAACAACATTTAATTTCAGTAGATGAAATCTGGATTTTTATTATATTTTGAAAACATCCAACTTTGTTCTAAAAATGATCACCAAGTGAGAAATCAAAAGCATTAAGTTCATATCTACTTTTGACATAGCTTCCAGACAAAGGCTGAATAAAAATTCTAAGAAAGTTTTTGGTTTAATATTAAAATTATCTCAATTTATTTTAATATAGATAATTGACTTTCAGTAACTTAAGTATATTGGAAATTATAACCTTCATAGAAGTCAAAGAAAGGACTGAAAACTGTAGAGGATTAAGAACTCTTACCTGGTTAACTAGGGAGAACCCATTTCTTCTCCACATTCCTGCGTGCACTTGTGCACATAAAACAAGACATCTAAGAGGATGTTCTATCAACATGGGTGGGCTTAGTTCACTCTGTATAAGGACACAAACAAGAACCACAAAGATCTCAACTCTATATAGAAGACCGGTTCAAGGGATGGAAGCTTTATATAAAATACAAGATAAAACCATTTTAAGGTATGTTTGTGTGATGACTAACTTTATGTGTTAACTTGGTAGGGCCATGGTACCCAGCTCTCGGTTAACATCAGTACAGATGTCACTGTGAAGGTATTTTTAAGATTTTAAAAATCTATAGATTAAAAAAAAAAATTAAGGTCAGTAGACTTTAAGTAAAGAAGTATTACTTTTCATAACCTGGCTTCCTATCTCCAGCAAGAGTGAAAGCAGCGACCAATGCCTCGAATGAGATCCATAATGTGGGCTGGCCTCACCCAATCAGTTAAAGGCCTTAAAAGAAGACTGAGGTCCCCCCTGGCCAATGATGAAGAAATTCTGCTTCCACACTGCCTTTGGACCTCAGACTGCAACTTCAATTCTCCCTTGGGTCTGTAGCCTGCAGGGCTGCCAGGCTACATAATTCCACAAGTCACTTCCTTATAAATAAATCTCGTCTCCTCTCCTCTCTCTTTCTATACATACATAAACACACATTTCATCCTTTCTGTTTCCCTGGAGAACTCTAATAAGGTATTTTTCAAAGTGATTAAAAAATATATGGAACACAGTATTTACTTTTAAATGTTAGTACTACTTACTAAAGGTAGCAGCTCTGGAAATTTATATGCCACTTCACTTTTGCTTAATAATACATGCAAACCTGCAGGAAGAACAACAAAACGTATTTAGATGAAAATTATTTAGAAAAAATGTACACTCAAGCTTTTAATGTAACTTGTTTATTTCTTTGGGAACCTATTGTATCATAAATGAAAATATAAAAGGAATTGCATTTACAAATAAAACTGTTCAACTGTTTACTTCATGAATCTCTGCATGAAAGGCATGCTGAGAACTGGTCTTATGATACTGATATTGACAGAAACAAGTATTAGACATACAAACACAGCAAAAGCAGGAATAAAACTATCAAAGCAATTAGGATGTTAAGCCAACATTAAGAATCTTATTTCACTGAGCCATGGAGTTTGTTCTCATTTAGAGCACAGGAGCAGAGGAAATGGTCCTGAAATAGCATTCAGCAATAAAAAAAGATAATTAATGCTATCTGTGGCAATATGGATGGAGCTTGAAGGGATTATGCTCAGTGAAGTAAGTCAGAAAGAGAAGGAAAAATATTGGATGGTTTCACTCATAGGAGAAATATAGGGAAACCAAATAAGGGATCGGGGGAAAAAATCATTAAAAAAAAAATACAACAAACTAAACAAAAATAATTAAGAGAGCTATATATCAGGGGAGGGGTGACGGAGAGGGCACAAAATACAGCTGGAAGGTCACAAGGGACCGAAGTGATATATCAGGGGAGGGGTGACGGAGAAGGCACAAAATACAGCTGGAAGGGACAAGGGACTGAGGTGATGGTGCACAGGTGACTTGGTGGTAGGAATTCTATGGAGACTATACACGAGGTATAATATATACAAATAAACTATTACATTTTTTTTTTTAAAAGTGAAAAAAAAAAAGGAAGAAAAATGGGCCTGAGCTTTCCTGTCTACGCTGAACCTCAGAATTAAGTTCCCCAGAACTTTCAGTTTAAGATGAAAACCTCTTCAGTTCCAAACTACAAAATACTCTCTCATAGTCAACCTTAATTAACTGTTAGCTAAAAACTATTAATGAAGAACTTCCCTGTGTATATTGTTAGCCAAACACTTTTTACAGTGTCAGTAAGAAATGCTGGCTGCTTGGTCAAGCCTGGTTTGAGGTTTTCCTTATCCAAGAAGACCTGTATTTTGAATCCTATTCTGATGTTCACCACTCAATTTCCATTAGCACAGACTCCACGTTGTTGTTTCAAATTATGTTCACTAAATTAGATTATAAGTATTAAAGCAAAGAGCTGTCGAATACATTGAGACAGAATACTCAGACTGTCCACTCAGTAAATTTGTGGGAGGTTAATACCTGGACAGAACTTAGTACATTTTTAAGAGGTGACTCTGGATAATTGGCAGCACCATCTTCCACCAAGTGGTTAGAACTGTAAAGGCAGAAATGACCAGCAGCTGCAGCTGGGACAGTACCCTTTTTCCTGCTGTCAGGCGAGTGTTGCGCTGTAAGATCACCCTCCCCCTTGCCTGTGTTGAAAAGCAACAGCTCGGTATGTGCAAATACATACTAACACAAAACTGTTCAGTTTTGGGAATAAGTCATGGGAACAAGAAAATCTCTTCTGAATCACTATTTCACTCTAGGAAATTATTTGTTGTTCTACGTGATGCACTACTATTCATGTAATCTATCTTAAATCGCCACAATGTGAGTGACAATCCAAAAGACTTCTAGAAATGCTAAGGTTTATTAGCAGGACAATGGGATGACTTGGGGAACAATGAAAAAATGCCTTCAGAAATGATAGTGGGATTACTACTACTGATCCCAGGCACATAAAAAGGTTGATAAAGGAATACTATAAACAACACTATGCCCACAAGTTGATAACTTAGATGAGATGGACAAATTTCTTAAAAGCCACAAACTACCAAAATTCTCAGGACAGAGATAAGCAGCCCTGCCTGATATCTATTAAGAAATTAAATCAAGCATTAATAACCTTTCAAAAAGAAAAGCATCAAGTATATATATCAAGTCCAGAATTCAGGGGTGAATTCTGTATCAAATATTTAAGGAGAAAAGGATACCTATTTTCCAGTCTCTCCTAGAAAACAAAACAAAGGACAAAAGAAGAAAACCCCACCAGTTTCATATCACATTGTTACTGAGCCACACACTTAAGATAAATGGAATTAAAGGGAATAACAGTATGTGAGCAGGTTAAGAATTCCTGTAATCCAGAAATAAGGAAGGAAGCTGTTCTGAAACGATATACAGACAAAGTACATATTCAGCTGTTGGCTGCCGATGGTGGCAGTTTTAAATGCTGTATCAATTACCAATGGTGTGTTATCAACTACTGATGATTAAAACAATTATTACCCTATCAATCATCAAAACTGCCGACAAGTTATCAATAAATGAGTAAGAAACAGCTTAGAGGGAAAGAAAGTCTCGGGTGGCTTCAATTTATTGGCAACTACCAAAGTAAAGACTGGCCTGCATGTGACAACACACAGACACTGCAGCTGCGTTGAGTTAAACAATATAAAGCACTGAGATGAAGAAGCACTGTGGTACAGTGGTTCTAAATAAGGCTTCTGGTGCCAAGCTACCTCAAAATTCCCTTCTGACTCCTGCTGTGGGACACTTGTCACTCTGTGTCTCAGTCTTCTCATCTGTGAAGTGAACTTAATTAAGAATATACCTGCCTCCGAGGCCAATATGATGATTAAATGAATTAATGCATATAACAACAAGTAGTAGGTATTTAGTAATTATCAACCACAAACAACAACTTGAAGGATAATTTCAGGGGCCTTTTGGGGGGAGAAATGCTTTACCTGCAAGTAAACGAGAAACTGGGAGGTGAATGCTAACTTTTTCTTGGGAAACACAGTATCTGATAGTTTCCACTGAATGTCCACAAATGCTTAATGTGATTGGCTGTTCACCATCAGTAAAACCACCATGACACTGCATCAACACAGCAAGGCATTTCTTGTAAGCTTCGATTAACACTTTTTCCTAAAAGAGAGGGTTTTCTGTAAGTTACTTAAAAGGCTGGGGTTCTACAACATTGAATAAGCAGCTTGATGATGAGTAAGTACCACAAATAGTATGGGCAAAATAAAATTCAATCTTCCCTCCCCAACTCAGTCCTTCCAGAGCCCTGTCTTAGTGAATGACATCTCTATCCAGCTGTCGAAATCTAGGAATTATTCCAATACCTTTCCCTTTTCCTTCATTCCCCACTGTTCAATCCTATCAAGCTGGCAATTCTGTCTACTAAATTTGTCTCCAATCTGGCTAATGATTATTTCCAGTAAGTCAAAGAAAGCCAAACCACATCTATTTAAATTCACTCCTACTTTTGCCCCTCTCTATCCATTCTCCACACAGAGTAACTAATAAAGACATGTAGGATTTCCTCACTTTCCTTAAAAGTCTCTAATGATTTCCCACTTCACTGAGAATAAAATCCAAACTTTATCAAGGCCCTGCAAAGTCACCAGCTCAGTCACTTGTCTAGCGCTATCCAGAGCCTTCCACAGCTCCCGGAACAACCATATTCCTCTATCACAGATATGATGTAGCTGTCCCTCAGTCAGGAATGTTCTTTAACTCTCTGACCAGTTAACTCTGACACAGAATTCAGAGCCTTCTCTGGACCTCAATTTAAGCACGCTCTCACCTAGGTTTTACAGCAAAGGGAAGGCCAAAATAATTTAAAGACACAGGAAAAATGTACCAATAATAAGAATTTGGGAGAATAAATTTATAAACTCTTTATATGCTCAAAATCTAAGAAGAGATTATGGGAAAAAAACAAAAACAGTAACATAAGAGAATAGAGTATGAATTACTTCCACCTCTATTTCTCTCTAAGATTTTAGAGTTTTAAATTTTAATTTACAGGTGAAGGATGAAAGTATGCTTTTTATAAGCTAAGTTTCACCCCCATCAGTTTCAAATATCTTCAAAATTTACTTAGGAGTCTGTTTATTCCCCTCTCCTCCATTGCTCTCTGGCCCCTACCCCTGGAAGAAACTCACATCAAGAGCACACCAGTCTTGCATCATTGAAATGACGTGTGTTAATTTCATCTGGAGAGTGAAGGCCGCTTCCCACTCTGGTTCCATTTCAATATGCTGTCCTACTTGACGTGTAATAGGGTCCATTCCCTTAAAAGAAATGAAGGGATTTAACATGAACCAACTTGTTCTCTTACATGGAAACTTAAATAATAATGTAAAAGACATAAATTATAAAAAGTTTAAGGAAGCTTCACATAGTATGAGAAGTCCAACTGCATAAATCATGTGTTTATATAACATTCTCTAAAACACAAATTAAAAATTTCAGAAAGTACAGAAGAAATTACTTTAGGGGCAATATTCTATATGTTTTGGGTAATAGAATATATACTCCTTCAAATTCCTTTTTAGCTTTACCATCTGACAGACAAAATTTTCAGAAAAAACTCGACAGGCTTTAGAAATGTTTAACATTTAAAGGAATTTTTATTCTTAATTTACAACCAAAAGTTTTCACAGACTGATAAAAGAAAAACAAGAAAACGATAACAGTCTTTAATACAAGAATGTCACTTTTCAGGAAATAGTCTATCCTGGTGTGTCAGACTGATCAAATCATAAGAAATACAGGCTACCTTGAGTTTTCAAAATGACAAACATAGCTTTTTTTTTTTTTAATAGATACTAAAAACAAAACAACACAAAGTGAATACCAATGAACACCATCCAATCCAGGAAACCTATTCCTGTTAAGAAACCCAAATGACGGCCCTCCCTGGTGGTGCAGCGGGTTAAAGCACAGCACTGAGAAGCTAAAGCCACTTCCGCATGAGTTTGATTCCCGCCTGCCCCGGAGGTGACCACATGGCGTGGCAGACCTCTCCTGGCCAGCCCGCTGCTCCCCTCAGCAGTGTACTTTGTAGATCTGCCTGTTCTGCTCCCCACTCTATCTTTGGTGAAGCCTCTCATCACCCCTGAGCCTCTGGCTGCACCCCAGTTCTGTATGAACAAATAAATAAATCTTAAAAAAAAAAAAAAAAAAAGAAACCCAAATGACTACCAAAGGAAGCATAATTGTACTTGCTCAGATATTCTGAGATGTCATCTAGTTTTTTTCATAGTTGAAACTGGTTAAATATACCAGTTAGTTTCTGCTTCTAGATTCTATCTGGTAAAAAGGGTGGGGCACGGTTCATAAAAAGAGAATTAAAGGAAGAACATTCTATTTCGCATTATATAAATATTGAGAAAAAGCAATACAGAAATTTAAAGAGTTACAGCTTTTACAATAACTTGATCATTCTTCCCTTGTAAGTGTATTAAAAATATAAATTTGCAATCCCCCAAAAAGAATGTTAGTGGTAACTAAAGAATAACCACATACAAAAGCTGTATTACAGCTTTCCAAAAGTTTTCAATTACAGCCATCCAGATTATTATTTTGGAAATTACCTCAAAATGAAAAAGACTCACAGAAAGCAGAAAGGTTCTCAAGTTTTCAATGAACAATAACAACAAAAAAAGGAACGTGTCCCCAGTTAAAATGTGCTCATTTACACATACCTGCATACATTTGAGTAATTCCAAAAAGGCATCAAATCCTTCTAGGAACCTCTGCCTGAGATCATCTGACCATTCAGTTGGTTTGCTAATTAACACATATCTGAACAACAACAAAATAACAATGAATAAATAATGCCATTTTACAGGTTGCAATCAGTATGATAATAAAACACAAGCTTACTTAAGATCTAAAATAAGGCTCTGAACTCTCCTAAACTTGAAGGCTTGTAAAGCAGTATATCGTTCAAACTGAAATCTGCCCTGGGCATCTCGATGTTTCAAATGATCCATAAAAGTCTTAATGATAATGGTCATCAAGTTTTCTTCTGTGATGAGCATCCGAGCCTAGAACAAAGCATAGCAGAGTATATGGTAATCAAAATCTACTTGCTAGGAAGCCATCATCAATTAGCTCTTTCAGTTTAAATCTTAACACTATGATATCATACATTCATAACTCCATTTCTATAATTACTCTGATGTATGTAATTGTTATATGAAGTAACAATTATATCACAGGGAAAGAAATATCACAGACACAGATTGAAGGCTCATTAGTCAAAGACAATTCAGGATGGGAGATCTGAACAAGTTGTAAATTTTCTTAAACTGAGACATTTAGACACCTAAGATGGTACCGTATAATTTTTCTAGTATCCAAAGGTTTCTATCACAGATTATTGTAGAACTTATATGAAATCATCATTTAATATCCTTAGTTGACACTAATTTTGTTTTTATTCCTCTGTATAGATACACATAGCTGTGTATTTTTGAATAAGCAACACATTTAAATGATGCAAACAACACAAGTAAAATGTCTCCTAAATTTCTGAGATCCCCCCCTTCTGCAAAGGCAACCTGTTAGCAGTTTTTTGCTGTGTTATATGTGTGTAAACTACATCCATATATATATATATATATATATATATAT